TCCCTTCCTCACTCCCTCCTTCCCTTTCTCCATCCCTCTCTCCCTCCCTCTCTCCCTTCCTTCCTTTCTTCCTTTCTTGTGCTCGAACTCAGAGTTTCATGTCTTTGTTTATCTCACTCAAGTCTGGTGCTCTACCACTTGAGCCATACTCCATTCTCTAATGTACTTTCTAAAAACAAATCACCTCCAGTAGCACTGTGAGTTATTACAGTAATCTCCTGGGGGGTGAGTCCACCAATGAGGGCATTTCTGGGGGGGTCCAGAAATGGGCCTGGTTCTTAAAAGTGAGCTCATGGAAGAGACTTACAGCTCTCCAGTTGCATGATACACGTCTGGACATCCATGGGGAAATTCTTCAAATCCATGGGGCAGGCCAAGGTCAGGGTGATTCTGGGAAGAGAAGAGGGTTAAATGGCTCAGAGTCTGCGGGCAGTGAGGCGGGGCTAACTGCCATCAACCAATCAGCTGTCCAGGACAGAGAAAGGAATCAGGGGGCTGGGATGTACACTTTCAATTTTGGAGCAAACCCAGGCTGAGAGAGTGATTGTGATTATATTGAAAAGGCAGGTGTTGGAGGCTCACGCCTGTCATCCTAGCTGCTCAGGAGGCTGAGATCTGAGGATTGAAGTTCAAAGCCTGTCTGGGCAAGCAAGTCCAATTACCCAGCAAAAAGCCAGAAGTGGCACTGTGGCTCAAGTGGTAAAGGGCTAGCCTTGAGCAAAAAAAGCTCAGGAACAGTGCCCAAGCCCTGAGTTCAAGCCCCAGGACTTGGGCACACACATGTGCATGCACGCACACACACATACATGCATACGTGTGCATTCACTCATGTATGTACATGCACACACATACAAGATTATATAGAGTCAGAGGAACTCTTGAATTTCTCTCTTTCTGTTTCTTCTTCAATCCTGCCTTTCTTCCCTTGTTTCCCTCCTTTCCTTCCCCTCCCTCCTTCCCTCCCTTTCTTCCTTCTCTCTTGGATATTTATCTCTATCTGTCTCTGTCTCTGTCTTTCTTGCCAACTTTAGAGCTTGAAACTCAGGGTTTTAGCTTAGATTTTCTTTTGCTTTAAGGCCAGTGCTCTACCACTTGAGCCACATTGCCATTTCCCACTTCTAACTGGTTAATGAGAGGTAAGAAGTCGTCCAAATTTTCCTGCCCGGGCTGGCTTTGAACCTCGATCCTCAGATTTCAGCCTCCTGAGTAGCTAGGCTTACTGGCGTGAGTCACCAGCAACTGATTTTCCTGCGTTTCTTTGGAGTCTGTGTTCACCAGGTTGCCCCGAGGCCTGATGTGGCTCCCAACCCTGAAGAGTCTTTAGATAGACAGACAGCTGCCCAGGCCAGCAGCACACATGCCCTGTGCTTCGCAGCAGGTACTACCCACGGTTCCTGGCTCGCTTCCCAGGCTGGACTCTTCAGAAATGAGTTCAGAGACCCTCCTTGCCTGCCAAGTTTTCACACACACACACACACACACACACACACACACACACACACACAGCCAGCTCACATCTGTGAGCTCACGTGGAAATTGGCTGGCTCCCAGGATTTGGGGCAAGCTGTTTATTTTGGATTATTCAGCTCAGGCTGGGATACAAAACTCGAGAGAGGCTGGGACCACATCAGAGGCCTCTCAGATCGTGGGAATACAGGTACAAAGCAGGACAGCCGGCGACTTATCCAAGGCCACAGGGGCCCGGTGGATTCACAGCTCAGCCAGGACTCACTGGGCCTTTGATCCTGAGCCGTAGAGCGGTGGATTGGGTTTGCCAGCTGTCTATCCAAGAGAGGTCAGCCTCATGCCCTGCCACAGCCAGTCAGAGATGCTCTAAGTGGAATGTAGCCCTGCCCCTCCGCTGCACCTGGCAAGGCTCATGTGTGAACACTCCGAGCTCTGCACGTGGCCCCTTTAAATGCCAGGATGGGGAGAAAACAGTAGATCAGCGAGGGGAAGGAGGAGGAGGGGGGAAGGGAAAGAGGAGGAAGGAGGGGAAGTGAAGGCCTCTGATAAAAGCTCCAAAGTAGAGCAGCTGTCACACTGGGTTAATTTCTTGACGTTGAATGACCTTGGGAACGTTGCTTTTTGCCCTGTCATGGTGCACTGGGACTTAGCTTCCTGATCATTGCAAACTAGTTCAGCAAGCAGCAAAGTCCAAGCATGGTGGCCCAGCCCTCCCCTCCCCCACAGCCAGCCAGGACCATTTCCTGGGTCAGGCATTGGGGTGTTCCACTAGGAGGACTCTGGATCCTCAAATTACCCCTCAGTGGTCTCTCCTAGGAGACTCAATCCAGTCACATCTGGGCCAAGGACAGAGATACTTAAAGCTCATTTCTTCTTTCTTCTTTGTCAGTAATGGGGCTTGAACTCGGGGCCTGGGAGTGATCCTCAGATCACAGCTTCCCAAGCAGCTAGGATTACAAGTGTGAGCCATCAGCGCCTAGCTTTCGGGCTCATTTCAAGGGTAAAAGATTTTCCTGATCAATCGGGACCAACGTCTTTTCAAGTTCTTTGAAATACAGATATTTTACTCAAGAGGCTGAGGTCTGAGGATCGAGGTTGGAGTCCAGCTCTGGGCAACTGCAATGAACCACCAGAAAACCAAAAGTGGAGGTATGGCTCAAGTGGTAGAGGGCCACTTGGAGAGGAAAAAGCCAAGGGAGAGTCATTCATAAGGCCCTGAGTTCAAGCCCCAGTACTGATCACACACACACACACACACACACACACACACACACACACACAGAGAAATACAAGTATCTTGTCACATATTTGATAAGTGCCCTGTTCTGCTCTAGGATTTGAGAGGATCTCAGAGACACAGATGCAAATCTAGGCTCAGCTGTTGACTACCAACACTTTGGCTGGGTGCCCTAATGATTCGAATACCTCCTCCCACCTAGTTCCCCTCACCCCCTGCCTGGGAGAGGGGGCCTTTCTCCCAGACTCTATAAAAAGTATCTGGAGGAAAGTTTGCAGAAGGGTTGACATAGTACTGATGTATTGTGTGAGCAGCACCATGCCCTGCTCTTGACTATAGTGTTTGATCACTCCATTCTGTCTTGTGTTCAAATGCTGGGTTGGCTTCAACTCTCTCTCCCTAAAATGCCTTCTCTGATCTCCTTGGTTATAATGAATTCTTACAGCTAAGACGTCCCCTAGGTGTTTTATTATTATTATTATTCTGCCGGTTGAATCATGGAATCTGTGTTCATGTCAATTTGGTTCTATCTTAATGTCTAGTTTTCGAAGATAGCAGGGTGTGAGTTCGAATTCAGGGTCTTCCTCTCTCCTTTGGCTTTTTGTCCCCTCAAAGCTGGTGTTCTACCACTTGAGCCACACCTCCACTCCTGCTTTTTTGCTGGCTCATGAGAGAGAAGAGTCTCCTGGATTTTTCTGCCTGGGCTGGCTTTGAACTCGTGTTCTTTACAGCTCAGCCTCCTGAGTAGCCAGGAAGTCAGGCATGAACCACCCTGAGTCTTTCTGAAGAGGGAGGGACAAATCCCCCCAACTCACCGGATGCTGTAGAGGACGTTTCCGTTGCGGGAGATCCTCAGGAGTTTGTTGTCGGTGGTGATCTCGTGGAAGTGGGCGCCCTTCTCGTTGGCAAAGAACAGGTCGGGTTTCCAGATGGAATCCAGCATGGATGGGTCCAGGTCCAGGGAGTCATCCGGGTACTCGTTGTAAGCCAGGCGGGGGTCATTCCACTGCTGCCGCAGGAAGATGTTGACCCTGTAGTCCTACAGGTGGGGGGGGGATCACAGTGGGGGCCCAGGTTTAGGCGTGAGAAGCCAGCTCTCTGGGTACCAGGGGGCTTTGGCCAGGGTTTCCCACAAGCCTTTGTGGAGGAGGCTGAGTCTGCATTGGGCAATCCTAATTGCCCTGTATGTATGTATGCATGCATTCATGCATTTATGTATGACTGCATGCATGCATGCATGTATGTATGTATGTGTCTATGTGTGTATGTATCTATTTATCTATGTATCTGTCTGTCTGTCTATCTTTGCCTTTTTGTGGAGCTTGAACTCAGGGCCTGGGCTCTGTCCCTGAGCCTTTTTTTTTTTTTTGCTCAAGGCTAGCACTCTACCACTTTGAGCCACAACACCTCTTCCCGGTTTTCTGGTGATTCATTGGAGATAAGAGTGTCACAGACTTTCCTGCCCAGGCTGGCCTGGAATGTGATCTTCAAATCTCAGCCTCCTGAGTAGCTAGGATTATAAGCGTGAGCCTTGAAAAGCCTCTCTAACTCCCTGCTGACTTTATCACAATGTTATTCTCTCTTTGGAAGAAAGATTTTTTTTGGGGGGGGGCGGGGGTCCGGTCGTGGGGCCTGAACTCTGGGCCTAGGCGCTGTCCCTCAGCTCTTCAGCTCAAGGCTAGCACTCTACCACTTGAGCCACAGCGCCACTTCTGGCTTTTTTCTTTTTGCTTATGTGGTGCTGAGGAATCGAACCCAGGGCCTCAGACATGCAAGGCAAGCGCTCTACCACTGAGCCACCTTCCCAGCCCAGATTTTTTTTTTTAAATAAAGAAGAACAATTAAAACATTTGGAAATAAATGTTCAAGGCCTGTATTATATATTATTATATATATGAGGTTTCATCATCCGGTCTTGTTTTCTTCATGCTGTGTGTGTGTGTGTGTGTGTGTGTGCGTGCTGATAAAGTCACAGTAAACGGCTGGGCAGCAAAAGCCTTCAGTCCCCGAAGCTCAGCGTGATCTGTGATGCTCTGAACAGGCCTGGGCCCAGGTGCATGCTGACCCCGCTGCTTGGGGGTGGGGGCTGGGAGCAAAGATTCCCCACTGCTGGGGGTGGGGGCTGGCGAGGCTGCGGCACTGTGTCTAAGCCCTTGGCATACAAGGTGAGCAGTAGACCTGGACAGGGGGTGGTGGAGGAGGCTCCCCTAGGTCCGACCCCTAGTGTTTGCTCAGCTTTTCTCTGTGGGTCTGGGGAGTCAGAACACTGGGTATGGGGGGGGGAGGGAGGATGGGCGCTGAGGGAGGGGAAGGTAGGCTCACTCTTCATGCTCAGTGCGTGATCATGCTCTACCTTTCACTCCAAGCCTTAGCTTCTCTAGGGGCCTTGGTGCCCCCAAGCAGCTCCCCCGGCTCCCAATCTACCCCATTAACCCCCTCCTCCCCGCTTGCTTTTTTCCTCTCTAATTCTCTAGCAAGGTCACCCCCCAAAAAAAACATTTCAGGGAGCATTTGACAGCCATGTGCAGAACTATGGAGATCAGGTGAGGCTAGACCTTCTATGTCTCTTGCATGATCGGAGGGACCTAGTGCTCAGAAGGAAGAGGAAGAAAGAGGAGGAGGAATTGTGAAGCCAGAAAAAGCTCATTGGAGTCCCCGAGACCCAGGGACAGATGCTTCCTAAGATCCTGTAGCAAATACAACCAGGGGTTATCCTGGACCTCACTGGAGTCCCTGGATCTCGCTATCAGAAGAATCAAGGCTAGAGCACCTCTACAACCTTTCCATAGCTAACAGCTGCATATAATTCATTTTATTTCCCCCTCCCCACCCCAGCAGCATTTAAATGAGCATCTATTAAGCGCCAGGCACTGGGGAACTGTGCGGAGAACCAGAAAGGTCTATGATTTATTCAATCTTAGCGCATACATAAGGTCTGTGCCAGGCCGAGGCCAGGGCTCTGCATACAGAGTGAGAAATACAGAGAAGAGACTTCAGATTCTGTGCCTGGCAGAAATGATTTTTGTTGTTGTTGTTTAAATTGAGATCATATAGGGTGGAACCCGAGGAAAAGCATTTTGGACAGTTGGAAGTGCATTCATTTACCAAAGGAGGCAAAGCTAGAGCAGTAGGCCAGAAAGAAGGGTCAGCAGGAGTCTAGGAAGGAGCAAACAGAGTCTTCCAGGGAAATTGAACTTGATCTGGACAGTAGGCAAAGCTTACTGGGATGGACTTCCCCCCATGTGTGTTCACGTCACTGCGCATATTTAAAAATGTCCGGCTTTCTTATTTCAGAAGCAATGCATGTTGGCTGTGCATCATCTAAAAGAAGAGGATGAAGGTTGGATGCTGGTGGCTCACACCTGTGATCTTAGCTACTCAGGAGGCTGAGATGGTTTGAAGAGGAGAGGATGGTTTGAAGGTGGCCTAGGCAGGAAAGTCTGTGAGATGCTTATCTCCAAGGAAGCCTCAAAAAAGCAGGAAGTGGGGGTGTGGCTCAAGTGGTAGAGGGCTAATCTTGAGTGAAAAAGCCAAATGAGAGCTTGGGGGTCTGAGTTCAAGTCCCAGTAATGGTACATGCATGCATGCATGCATGCATGCATGCACGTGCACACACACACACACACACACACACATGCACACAGGATCCAAGGTATAGATTCTCATTATAAAGTGACCAATGGAAAGCGATCAAGGGACCTGAAGAATGGAGCTTGCTTAGATCTTCTGGAGCCGCTGGCTCCACCCATAGCAGCTGTCACTCAAATGAGTTATCACCATTGATTATTTTTTTTTTCCTTCTTTCTCCCAGATTGGTAAACAGCAGCAGGCAATGGGACTCAGAAGAGATCAATGTAATTGCTTTAATAGGCCGACAGCTAAATGCTGTTTTGCTTACTTAGCCAAATACTTCCGTGGGTCGGTGTTCAACATGCTGAAAGACCATGTTCACATTCAGGAGCCCGAGAAGCCACATTTGAATTCTCTCTCCCACGAGCTGCTTTCTAAGTCTCAAATGCTCACAGGAAAAATCCATTTAAAGCAGAAGCAAGGAGATTGCTACAGCTCTAATACAACAGCCTTTGAGATCTCAGTTTTATTTGCCTTATAAATATAAATATGTGTGTGTGTGCGTGTGTGTGTATGCCAGTACTATGGCTTGAAGTCAGAATCTGGTCTCTGTCTCTTAGCTTTTCACTCAAAGTAGGTGCTCTACCACTTGAACCGTAACTCCATTCCAGCCTTTTGCTGGTTCATTGGAGATAAGAGTGTCATGGACTTTCCTATTGGGGCTGGCTGGGAACTGCGATCCTCATATCTCAGCTTTCTGAGTAGTTTTGATTACAGGTGTGATTCACTAACTCCAAGCTTGTTCTTTAGCTTTTTTACTCAAGGCTGGAGCTCTACTATTTGAGTCAGGCTCCCTGCTCTGGTCTAGGTAATTTTAGCCTAATTTCATAGATGAGAAAGGCTCAGGGAGAAAAAATATTTTTTCTAAACCACACAATTGATAAATAGAGCTAAGGGAGGGTGGAGTTTAAACTTCATGTATCTGATTGTATGAAATTCATGTTTTCTCATTAGACAAGAGCAAGAAATGAAAGGCATACAAGTAGGAAGCAAGGAAGCCAGATTATACTTGCTTGCAGTGGGAAATGATTGTATACACAACATCCTTTTTGAAAAGATTATTATGAATCTTTATGAAATAATCTTTATGAAAAGATTATTAGAAGCCAGATTCCAGTGACTCATGCCTGTAATCCTGGTTATTCAAGAGGCTGAGATCTGAGGCTTGCAGTTCAAAGCCAGCCCAGGCAGGAAAGTCTGTAGTTAACTGCAATTAACTATCTCCAATTAACTATCAAAAAGCTGGAGTGAAGGTGTGACTCAAGTGGTAGAGCACCAGTCTTGAGCAAAAAAAAGCTCAAGGACAGCAACTAGGCCCTGAGTTTAAGCCCTGTGTGCCCTGTCTTTCTCTCTCATACATACACACACACATTATTAGAACATATAAATGAAATCCATGTGGGGCTGGGAAGATGGCTCAGCGGTAGAGCGCTTGCCTTGCATGCTTGAGGCCCTGGGTTCAATTCCTCAGCACCACACAAGCAAAAAGAAAAAAGCCAGAAGTGGTGCTCTGGCTCAAGTGGTAGAGCGCTAGCCTTGAGCTGAAGAGCTGAGGGACAGCGCCCAGGCCCAGAGTTCAGGCCCCATGACCGGACCCCCCCAAAAAAAATGAATTCCAGCAAAATTTCATGATACAAAATTAACATACAAAAAATCACTAGCTTATGGGCTGGGATGTAGCTCAGTGGCAAAGTGCTTGCCTAGTAAGTGTAACATCCTGGATTTCATTCCCCAATGCCAAAAATGAAAAGACAAAGAAAACCAAGGGGCTGGGAAGGTGGCTCAGTGGTAGAGTGCTTGCCTCGCATGCCAGAGGCCCTGGGTTCAATTCCTCAGCACCACATAAAGCAGAAAAAGCTGGAAGTGGAGCTGTGGCTCAAGTGGTAGAGTGCTAGCCTTGAGCTGAAGAGCTGAGGGACGGCGCCCAGGCCCAGAGTTTCAGACCCCACCACCGGCAAATAAATAAATAAATAAATAAAAAAGGAAAAAGGAAAAGAAAAGAAAGTCAATAGCTTTACATAGATAAATAAATAAATATATTTATTTGCCAGTCTGAACTCAGGGCCTGGGTGTTATCTCTGAGTTTCTTTTGCTCAAGGTGAGTGCTCTACCACTTGAGCCACAGCACCATTTCCAGCTTTTTCTGAGTAGCTTATTGGAGATAAGAGTCTCATGGACTTTCCTGCCTGGGCTGGCTTTGAACCATGATTCTCAAATCTCAGTCTGCTGAGTAGCTAGGATTATAGGTGTGAGTCCCTGGTGCCCAGCTAGATCTAGATATATACATGTCCATAGATATAGATATCTAGCTATCTCAATAATTAAATTATTGAGAAAAAAAACCAGGAAAGCAATTCCATTTCTAACACACACACATATGCACACATACACACACATCTAAGAAAAAAA